TGATTACTATACCTTTCTAATGTGACGATGTTGTCTCTTGTTGTTGTCCTTGGCTCTCTTTCTCCCTCTGCTTTGTCTCTAGGGGCCACCCTATATATTTATATATCAACATAATTCCTTTTGTGCATATTTTTATATTGTTGATGATAATAAATTAATTAAAGCAACAAATCAACCCAAAGAGCCCATTGGGAGCCGAAAGACCCGGATCTTTTTAGTGAGTCGAGCCGAAAGATCTGGATCTTTTTAGTGAGTCGAGCCGAAAGATCCAGTTCTCTAAAAAGATCCGGAATTCCCATCACTATCAGTGCGGTAAAAACGACTTTAATGCTACTTCCGGCTGTGACGTGAGGACTGCTGTTCCCAGCAGTCTTTGCGGCTGCGCACACGTGGTGGAACGGCGGACGGAGGCATCATGGCTGTGTTTATGGACCTGAACGTGTCGTTTCTCCCGGACAGGAGCGACCTGCGCAGCGTCGTGGAGACGGCGGCTCACCGTGAGTGTCCGCGGCCGCAGACAACGCTCTGTGCGCCGGCCTGCCGCTGCTCAGCCGCGGGAACGTAACGCTCCTGTCTCCGGGACCAGCGGCTTTTAAAAATGACTGTTTTTTGAATAGAGTCTGGTGGAAAAGGGCAGGCAAGAAGTTTTCCACCAGACTCCATTCAAAAAACAGTCATTTTAAGGTTTGTCCGCGGTTTTCAGAAATGTAAACAAAGGTCTGTACCCTCGTATTCCCGAGAGACTGATGATTTTAATTATGTGGTCGCAGAGCCGTAACACACTGAACTAAGTAACGTAATACAGCTTAGAACACACAGCTCTATAAACAGTTACAGTAAATATATAAGTGTTAACACTGAGCTGTTGTCCTGCGGACTTCGTTCCTCTGTGTGTGCAGATAGTGAGGCTGTAACTGTTACAGTGTTCACAGTGTGTTAGACGAGTTGTACAGGGAGATGGCAGCGGGCAGGTGCGTCAGTCTCTCACTGAGCGTGCTCCTGTGATTGGCATGTCATGGAGTGGGTGGGAGGTATTGTCTTTATTTTGTACAACATCCACCTCTCAGACACCACCCTAAGGGAGACCAGCTCCCTCCCCACAACATTACTGGCCTTGTGATCAGTTTGAGTCTGTCGGCTTCTGCATCCGGCTTCCGTTGTCTGACAGATGTTGAAGGACCTCAGAGATGACTCTGGCCCTGCCTGTAGAGGGCAGTGGTGTTTTTAACCCAGTTTATTATCTATGTGCACTCTGAGGTATTTCTAGTCCTCCACAACGTCCTCACGCTGGATTGAAACAGGGGTCACAGGTTTCCTGGTCCTCTTAAAGTCCACAATCAGTTCTTTGGTCTTTGTGACGTGACAAAGGAGTCGACCACTGATGCCCAGAAGGTGGCCATCACCAGTAGGCGGTAGGTGAAGTGTCTTGCCCAAGGACACAACGACCGAGACTATCCGAGCCGGGGCTCGAACCGGCAACCTTCCGATTACAAGACGAACTCCCAACTCTTGAGCCACGATCGCCCCTCGATCTCTCGTGCTGTTCTGCTTCCTCCTGTAAATGTCCTCACTGATCTCATCTCTCAGTAACACCTGAACCAGTCTCACCTCCTCTCTGATGCCCTCCTCCTGTCACTGAGGAGGGTTTGATGTCTTCAGCCTCTCACGGTCGCTTTATTATTAGTGAAACATCCTGTCAGTCAAGTTTCAATGATCAGCTTCACACCCAAAACAACAAACAACAGCCAAACCAGACTCCATTCAAAAATCTGCAATTTTTAACGGTTTTACGAGTTCAGTTGAAACAAAATGAAAAAGATTTAACGCAGAAATCTGACTCAGCATCAAGTAAGCCAGGGTGCAGATGTAATCTGTGAGTAGCGTTTACACCAGACTCTATTCAAAAAACGGGTCGTTTTAGAGGTTCCTCTTGCTGTCAGTGATTATCAGCCGCCTCCTGCTCAGATGGGTTGCATTGCACGGTGAAAACCTTCCAGCCCTCACACGTGTGTTTCTGTCTTCCTGCAGTCGGGTTCTCCACCATCGCCCTCAACTACGTGTTTGAGCCCACAGCCAAGAAGAAACAGGTGAGTGCACCTGCTGCGCTGCGTTCAGGAACAGCACAGAAACCGTGGAATTAATATTCAGGTTGAACCTGTCTGATTAGCAATCGATCAATAAAACATCTGTGGCTAGTTTTTAACGAAAAGCATCCGTAGCTTCAGATGTTTATTTTGTAAATCTCCGTGTCACTTCCTTCCTGCAGGAGATCCCCACCCCGACTCCGATCAACGAACTGATCGATCAGCTGCCTGTGGTGCAGGGTCGATCTCGTCCAATCAGAGTGCTGAACAGGCTGACGGTGGTGATGTCAGACGCGAGTCACTTTGTGAGTTCTGTAAACTCCGACGTTTCATAAACCTGTGAACTCATCGATCACGTCTTCATAATCAATCTGTAAGGCAGGCTGCTGAGGGGGCGGGGCCTGTGTCAGCTGTAAAGTACATTTTAAATATCTGGATTACAGGATTACTCGAGTGTTTAGAGGCAACCGTGGTTTCTGCTAAAGTTGAATTAAAGAGATTCCAGAAGATTCCAGATTACATCAGCTGTGTCCATGGTTACAGGATGATAATCTGAAGGGGGACAACCTGATTCATGGTTTGGTGTGTGTGTGTGTGTGTGTGTGTGTGTGTGTGTGTGTGTGTGTGTGTGTTTTCAGAGGCCGAACGCTCCGGAGTACCGTCGCTTCGACCTGCTCGCTGTCCAGCCAACCTCAGAGAAACTTTTCCACGTGAGCTTCACTGACACGCAAACACTGTGCTGCGTTCACTGACTGCAGGACTTTCTGCTTCTTCAGCTTTATTTGCACACTTTTAAAACAAATCTGGCTTTTCCTGCTGCACCTGAACACTGCGTAAAAATAACACTGCTGTAATGTAACTTAATGTAACCCTGTGTGTGTGTGTGTGTGTGTGTGTGTGCGCGTGCAGGCAGCCTGCATGGTTTATGACATCGACATCATCTGTGTGCCGATGACGGAGAAACTTCCTTTCTTCTTCAAGAGAGCGCCGATCAACGGGGTGAGCGAGCATCGTGACCCAGATCATTACTGCGACCGTCACGTGACTGTTTATTAATGTGTGTGTGTGTGTGTGTGTGTGTGTGTGTGTGTGTGTAGGCCATAGACAGAGGTGTGGTGTTTGAGGTGTCGTACTCTGCCGCCATCAGAGACTCCACCATGAGGCGCTACACCATCGCCAACGCCGTCAGTCTGATGGAGAGCTGCAAGGGAAAGGTGGCGCTGTTTCTCCAATGCTTCCTGTACCAACGACTCGACTTCCTGTCACGTGACTAAATTGTGTTTGTGTTTTTTCTCAGAGTGTGATTCTGTCCAGTGCAGCTCAGAAGGTCAGTGATCGGTGACTGTATTGATCGCTGATTGATTGGTGGCCGAGCTCAGTACGCTTGTTTCTGTTTGCAGGCTCTCGAGCTCAGAGGACCGTATGATGTCACCAACCTGTATCCTTCATCAGTACTACTGCAGTACTACTGCGTGTGTTACTGCAGCAGTACTGCGTGTGTTACTGCGTGTGTTACTGCAGTACTACTGCGTGTGTTACTGCGTGTGTTACTGCAGTAGTACTGCGTGTGTTACTGCAGTGTTACTGCGTGTGTTACTGCAGTGTTACTGCGTGTGTTACTGCGTGTGTTACTGCAGTAGTACTGCGTGTGTTACTGCAGTAGTACTGCGTGTGTTACTGTGTGTGTTACTGCGTGTGGTGTTGTGTCCTGATGCTCCTCCTCAGAGCTCTGCTGTTCGGTTTGTCAGACGGAGACGCCAAAGAAGCCGTCTCGTCCACCTGCAGAGCCGCTCTGCTGCACGCAGGTGAGCCCGCGGTGCTGCAGCTGCACCTGTGAGCGAGCACGAACCCTCTCAGGAAACACTTTGTTTGTTTGTGGTCAGAAACCAGGAGGACAGCCAGCGGAATCATCTACACCACGAGGAGCCAGCAGGAGGCGCCACGGGGCTCAGCAGACGGTAGGTTTAAGACCGGTTTTCTTTACAGATGTTAGATGTTTGTGCTGTGTGGAGATTGAGCTGTGGTGGAATAAAGTGATGATTGAAACTGGCTGATATCAGACATGTGCTGCACGTCCGTCCTGAATGTCAGCTGGATGTTCAGGTTGGAAGTTTTTCATGAACCTTTATTTAAACATGAAGAAGTGACCTGAGCCGGCTGCAGCGGGACTCACGGTCAGGAATACTCATTTCCCCACAGACAGTCGTCTCTAACCCGTGTGACTGAAGCTTCAGTCCAACACTGACGGACGGCCGAACGTCACGTGATCAACGGCCACGTCTGCACAACCTCAATAACAGCATAAGAGGAAATGACCCGGCCCTGAGTTGGTCGCTCCAGGAAACAGACGTTTGTTTTATTCAAAGTTTGATCCTCCTGTGGTCAGAAAGGAGGACGTGTCCAGGATGTGTTCTTTGGACGGCAACTTGTTCCAGCGTGTAGCAACATAACCAGAACCAGAGTGGGGTCGTGTGTACCACCGAGTGGGCTTCAGAGTACTGATTGTAAGTTGTGTCATCAGTGCTGAAGATAAACTGACAGGTGTGTTTCTACCCGAACAGGTGAACCTCCAGCAGCCAAGAGAGCCAAACCAACGTGACCACGAGAACGACCGACATCGGAGGAGGAGGGGACTGTCAGTTGTGTGGGGGGCGTGGCCAATAGCGGTGGAGGGTGGGGCAAACAGTGGAGGAGGGCGGGCCAACTCCGGTTTCTTCTCCTGCCTTTTTTTTCCCAAATTGTTGTTTGTTTTTTTTGTTTCTGCTGACAGTTTAATAAACAGTTTGAAGAATTCACATTTGTCTCTCTGCAGCAGGGCCTCTGCTTCCATCCTCTGTGCTCCCCAACAATTCAAACAAAAAGTCCATTTATATGCAGATGACACTGGTTTTTATTTACTATTTAATCAGAAGTACCTGACTCCGTGGTATAATTCTCAAACACGTATCCTAAAGCCGACGACTCGTAAGCTGGAGAGGAAATGGCGTGTCACAAATTTAGAGGATCATCATTTAGCCTGGAGAAATAGTTTGTTGCTTTATAAGAAAGCCCTCCACAAAGCCAGAACAGCTTACTACTCATCACTGATTGAAGAAAATAAGAACCCCAGGTTTCTCTTCAGCTCTGTAGCCAGGCTGACAAACATACGATGTTCAGCTGAGATCAAGAGCATCAACGCTTCTCCAGCACGATGAAGGTCAAAGGTCGTTGACCATTAAAGGCGCCACCGTGCTCTCTGAAACGCCCCAGCTGCCATCATCACTGTTCTCCTCGCTTCAGCTTGTTTGTTGGTTTAGTCAAAAGAAACAAAGCTGTTCACAGTCAAAGCTTTTATTCTGAAATCAGTACAAATGCTGGCCTCTGATTGGTCAGCCCAGATAGCGGAAGTGATGTCATCAAAAATAGGGAGCTGCTTTTACATTCAGTCAAATTCAGAGTAAAAAATATACAAATCTGCCTCAGAAAAATAGAAATGTACAGACAGGAAGACTCTTATTTTGAAAAACCACATGAATTTTTCTTCCCCTTACAGTAAACTCTCATTAACACCTCGTTAAGCCTTTCAGTCGGTTCTATACTGGAGTTTAAAAAAATTCTACTGGCATTTTTCCTGTAAACACATCACAAGTCTTCACCATGTGAAAGCCCTTTAAACGGAGACAGTGAACGCACCACCACGTCAATCAGTTATTGATCATTGATTGGACTGTCACACATATCACACAGGAGAGGGGCTGGGCTTAAAGCTCAGGTAAACGCTGACACTCAGTGGTGTGTTCAGGGACACAAGGACATCAGAGATTTCAGAACTTAAGTCTGAGGAGTACTGCTGGTCCTGAATGCATCACTGGATGGAAACGTTAAACCGTTTCCTTGACAACGATGTGAAGGTGGGGTGGGGCCTTGATGACATCTTCCAGCAGCACCATTTTAGTGAAGCACCTGAAGCATCAATGTGATTGGACGGCTGGTTGCGGGAGAATGGGTGGAGCTTCAGAGGCCCATGATGTGGTTGAAGTGACCCTGAAAAAGCAGAAAGACACCGTTGAGGCTCTCAGCCAATCAGAGCCACAGAGACGACTCTGTAAGCCTCGCTTCCACAGGGGGCGGGGCTTAACTGTTTCGTGAGTTCGGCGTCTTACCGGTTCTCCTCTGAGACACCTCGGACAGCAGAGCAGAACAGGTGTGGGCCGTACCTGCACACACACACACAAGTCACCATAGCAACAGCACCTGTACACCTGTCCTCCAGCTGAGCACGGTGAGGACTTTCCACCACGTTTATCTGAAGCTGACCTCTGACCCTCAGATCTTAATGACATCGTGTGTCTTGTCAGAGGAAGCTCGACGAGCTCACCTGGTGATCCGGCTGCTGATTGGTCGCAGGACTGCTCTGCGACGTCTCCATTGGACAGTCGGACATCTGGAGCTCCGCCTCCAAACAGAGCCTCTTCTGAAAAAAAAAAAAAACCCCAACATCAGCACCATCAGCATACCTGAGGACCTCACCTGAAGCTGTGACCTCACTGACAGGGTGGGGCTAAGCAGGTGTGTCACTTTCCTTCTAAACTTGCGTTTTGGTAATCCAGAGGTACAGCACGCCACCACAGAGGTCATGAAGAAGTCACTGAGTGGCCTCCGTCAGCCCTCAGTTTTCATACCCGACACGGAGTGTCCTTTACCCCACAGACCTGCTCTCAGACACTCCCACAGCTGTCACTCTGTCTGTGACTTTAAGAAATCAGTGCTTCAAGTGTTAAAACATGTTCAGCGCCATCTTCTGTCAGCACGGAGTGTGACGTCATGTGGTTGGTTGGCCGGGCTAACAGGCTCACATTAGTTTGTTATACCTGAGGAAACTGTGGTGCTGCAGCAGTGAGTTCATGTTAAACCAGGATAAACTGTAAACAGGAAGTGGCTGTTTGGCTGGCTGCACTCAAACAGGAAGATCCAGCTGTTAGCCGTGATGTTGGTGTTTGTAACGCACTTTATAAACGAGGACTGTGTCAGACCGACATGCTGCAGCTGTTCCTCGTCGAGCCTGCAAAGCAGATGTTCACGTGCTGCGATCAGCCAACTTTATGCAAAAAGCAAAATGTTCCCAACACAAGTAAAGAGTTGTACCGACACAAGATTGTGCGAAACATGTTTTTAAAACCTTAACTTCACATACAGAGTCTCTACATGCAGCGTCTCATGTCCCCTCTGACCTGTTGTTTCCTGTCACAGAAACACGTCACCGTTCCCGTTTCATGAATCCATGAAGGTCTGTGTCAGTGTACGTGCACATGTGTGTGTGTGCATGCGTGTGTGTTCTGTGTTCAGCCGAGAGAAGGTTCAGCAAAAGTCAACAATCTTCGGTCGACGCGGGCGGCCTTGAATGAGGAGGGAGAGAGTCACAACAAACAGTCGTATTATCTAAAGGAGAGTTTTGTTATTCCCGTCAGCTCGTGCCTTGAGCATCTTCATGAGCTGTTTTGGTTAGTGCAGACAAACTGCTTCAATTTTACAGTTGGTCTAATGTCCGTCACTGGTCACCAGGTCTCTCAATTCCCGTTCTTCTCCAAGATCGTATCCATATTGCGTTCAATAAACACAGTCTTACTCACAGCCCGGCCCATCGTCTATCATGTCGGACAGCCTGGTGGGATTTTGAACAGCTGTAGCCGCTTCTTGTTCTTTGATAAGCTGAGCCAGCTCCAATCAGCCAGAACTGTTATCGTGGTTCTGAATTGGTAGATGTTGTTCATTGTCCTCCATCGAGTGTCGCCAGACACACGACGCAACCGACCATCGAGTATCCGGCAGCAAACGTCTCTGCAGGACAATCGGGCTCTCCCAAGCCCAGGCTTCCAATAGGGTGTCAATTTCATTAAGGGACCAGTTGATCAAATCCATAATTCTTCTTTAGGTTTTAGAGAACAAGTCTGGGAGACTCTCTGAGGGTTAGAGAATAAGCAAGACTATACAAGAAACATGAAAGCCAAGCAGGAAAGATAAGGGAGAGGGAGAAAGTGCGACTCCCAGAGAGCTGTCAGCTGAAAGCTCTGCTTATCTCAGCGTGGTGCGCTTCAACTTCTTAGGAAGCTGGACAGAAGAGGAAGTGTGAGGCCTAAAATCTCCACAGCAGAGGAACGGGTTCTGAAGACCCGACACAGGACGCGGGAGATGATTTGGACCTTTAGCCGTTCTTAATGAAGGGAATGAGGAGGAAAGGCTGAGGTACGAAGATCAGAGGAACAGGTCTGACGGAGCCACATCTGAAGGTTCAAATAAGAGCTCCAAGCACCCGAGAAGCTGCAGATGTTCCTGCAGATGTACTCGATGTACTTGAAGAGGCTCAGGACTGATGTCACTTTGTAGTTTTTATATTTTGTAGTTCTCTTATTTCGCTGATGTTTCTTCTTCTATGGTTTTTGTTTGGCTCGTGTCTCTGTAAACAGTTACTGTTTAAATAAAGTTATTACTGTTTATGTCCAAGAACTCTGATGACCCCTGCTACTCCTAATAAACTGCTCCTCCTCCTCAGGTGTCTTACCGCTTTGGAGTTGCGCGGCTCCGCCTCCAGACTTCTCTTCTTCATGGGGTGCGCGCACTGCATGCTAGCAGCTAATCGTTAGCCTGTTAGCATTAGTTTGGTAGACACTGACCGGAAGCTGCCGGTTTCCCGCCCAAAGAGCACAAACGGAGCCGATTAACCGATCAATCGTTAACTTCGTGCTACCTGACCGACAGCTATCCGCTGCTGCTGCTGTTGCTGCTGTTGGCTGACCTTCTGCTGACCGGCAACATGAAGCTCTCAGCATCGAGCTCACCGCTTCCGGTATGACACGAAAACAGCTTTTCACAATAAAAGCACCGACGGTTTCGCTTCCGCCTTATTTTTGTGTGTGTGTCTGAATATGTTCAAATATCTGTGTGTGTGTGTGTGTGTGTGTGCGCGCGCGCGCGCGTGTGTAAAAGGCTGTGTCTCTTCTGCGCTGAGAGCTGCAAAATAACAATCTGTTGTGTGAACACATGATGATTCTTCTTCTTCTTGAACCCTAAAAAGAAGAAAAGTCATCTGATTTTGAAATTTTAAAAAGAAAATGTTACATTTTTAGTGTGTTTTTATAATAATTACACATTTTAGTGTGTATATTTACTCCATTTAGATAAACTTCAAAGTCCTGAAAGTTGTCACATTCCTGCATCACAGCAGCCAAACGTGAAACACAAACTTAAATCAAATAAAATCATACATGTGTAAGTTTAACATAAAGGCTTATCATTCAAAGTTAAAAAGAGAAACGAAGAAAAAAATAAAACGGCACATTACTTTTATTTTGAAGCGGAACTTTGTTTTTTTAAATCTTGTTGACGTTTCGCGTGTTGATTTGACATTTTTTTATTATTTATTTATTTTTACTGAACAGTCTTTAAGTTACAAACATGTTCATCGAGCAGCAGTCCTGAAATACATAAATAAACTCTATTTAATTATTTACAATTATATTGCAGTATGCTGCTGGTCCCTCTGACACTTTTAAGGCATTCTTCTTCTGCAACATTTTTAAAGGCAGGAAAAGTTGGAGAAAACTTTCAAACGTCACATATTTGGTATTCTAATCATCTCCACGATTGTCAATCTTTCCAGTGTAAATTTTCTTTTCACAGGAAGAGGAAAACATTGTTTAGTGCATTTTGTTTTTACTTCTATTGTCCAGAAAGTTGCAATCTTTAATTCTCAGATGAGAAAAAATCTGTGTTACGAATACTGTAATGATCCTTTCGTTAAAGCTAGCAGGT